GATGGATTGTGATAAGAGTTATACAAGCTAAGTGGAAAGCAAATGTTTTGAGAATGATGAGGGCAATGAATGTACAAATGTGCTTTACACAATTGATGAATGTATGGATTGTGATAAGAGTTATATGAGCCCCTAATAAATTGATTTAAAAAAAAGAATGCAAATAAGATGCATGGCATTCTTGTGTGGGTGGGTCCATGCAAATAAAAATGTATGGAAACCTAAAAAAAAAATGTTTGTCTTAATGCAATAGACTGTGGTACTCCTAGAATTATCTGGGATCACATAGTAGTTTTATATTTATAGCTAAGGCAATTGAAATTTATAGTAGAATTATTTTAGATGAAGTATTATCTTGGATATATTTCTGTGGGCATTAAAATAATTTTGAAAGGCTCTGCTTACCTTCAAATTGTTTATTTCCACTTTATATTCAGGTAAGACGATGTTATGTGAAAATGTTTCACAGATGTCATTATGATTCAATTGTGAAAAGAACTGAAACTTTTCATTCTTTTTCCTCTTTTTCAATAGTCTGCTAGCTTTATTTACATAAAGGAAGCTTTGGATGTTTTCCTTCTCATGCTGACTGTAGAGTAAATTTTCCTTTTAAAAAATTTCATTCAAGTTTAAAAGTTTGGTTTCATTTTAGTGTCAAACAAGTTACACATATTTTTATATTAAGATGCTTTGCTACATTTTATTCATGTTTTAAAATAAATGTTTTGCTAGGGAATGCAAGTGGAATATTTGGTACTACATGATGTTGATTTAATAATATCCCATGTGGAGAATAATGTACACACTGAAGAAACCCAAGAAGAGGAAGAGGAAGACGATGAGCTAGAAGGTCCAGATATTGGTAATTATAATAGGATCATAATTGGTTTTATGATCTCCCCCACATCTCCCGTTCCTGCCTGGATCAGTGACATTTCCAATGAGTTAGCTTCCTCAGAGAATGTATTCACTTTTAAGACTTGACCAGAAAGTATTTTTTAATCAAAGCTTATCAAATTGATAAGATAAAGAAATATAAAGAGCCCTGGTGGTGTAATGGTTACTTGCTGGGTTTCGATCTACAAGCTCAATAGTTCAATACTACCAGCCTCTCTGCAGGAAAAAGACAGGGCTTTCTACTCCCATGAAGAGTTAGAGTCTTGGAAACGCACAGGGGCAGTTGTAGCCAATCCTGTAGGGTATTCTCTGTGAGTCAGCATCGACTCAGTGGCATTGCGACAGTTCATTTAATGTGATACTGCTTATTGTTACAAGTCAAGCCTCTAGCTGCCACCATATCCATGCTTTCTTCTTTCAGATCAATTCTTTCAGCACTTCTGGCTTAGTCCAGGTTTTAAAATTCCACCCCAAAGCCACCACCAAAAATCTATCTTAGAAGTAGTACAGCTTTAATATTTCTTAGAAGCGAGGATGGTAAAACTTTACTTCACATACATTGGACCTGTTTTAGGAGGGACCAGTGCATGGAGAAGGATGTCATGCTTGGTATAAAGTGTGAAGATCAGTAAAGATGGGTGGCTCATCAGTGAACAGGATTGAGTCAGTGGCCTCAAACATAGCAGTGATTATGAAGATGTTACAGGATTGGATTTTTGTTCCATTGTGCGTGGAGTCACTGTGGGCCCATTGACAACAGTTGCACCTAACAAAAACAATAAATTGTTTTTTATTGCTTTCATTTATGCACTACTCAGTATTTTCTCGTAAATTATTTGCTCTGATTCTTCTGAGCTTGCTTCTGTTAACTTAATTTTATAAATGAATAATTTGTGTTTCAACAGACTTGAAATTTTAATTTGTTATCTATCACTTTGATACTTCTTTCATAACATTAAGGAATTAATGTAACTGCTTATTAAACTGTTGGTCACATCTATCTTCTCTGCTAGTTTATAAATAAGGTAGGTGTGATGTTTTGTTAATTTTCATATTCTATTTACCTTGAATGTTTTAAATTTTATCATTATCATGAACTCCAAGAGGGAAGTTTAGAAAGTCTTTTCATGAAATTTATTATTTTGACTAAAATGGATATTACAATTTTATTAAAGACTATGAGCTTCAACTGTTATAATTGACTTAGTTTTTGATCTAACCTAGATGCCAGTCTTCTTATATGTAGAATTTGGAATTGTGCATGGTTTAATCCAGATTTTTTTTTCCATAATCATTACATTATGATTGCTCTCTGCTTTATTCCTATTGAAATATGTTCCAGTCTTCTAACTTGAGAGATTTCCTCCAGTAAATTTTGACCCTGGTGGGATTTGTCTGTTTCAAGATTTACTGTTGCCAAGTTACCTTAACTGCTGTCTGATCCTGCAAGCTTGCCTTGTCCTCTGGTGTGCCTTCTTTTTCTCCTTACTATCTACTTGTGTTTGCTCCTCAGTCTAGTTCTAGTATTTCTTTTTGCAGTTTTTCCATTTTAATTTTTTGTTTAATTTCTTACTGACCCTTTGTATACTGGCCCAAATACATATTTTTCATTTTGTCTCATTCACATTTACATAAGAAACAGGAGATTTGTAAAGAGTTTACTGCCACGTAAAAGTGGAATATAGGGAAAATGTCCCCCAAAAGAAATGGGAATGGATGAGTCAAAAAACACAAAGAAGTGTGTCTACAAAAGATCAGCACTAAAGAAAAGGAAAGAGAAATAAACATATATATAACTTAAGACCCAAACCAGCATGTGTATGTATCGATGAGGAGGTGGCAAAGAAGCTCTGATGAGCGTGTAGAAGTACAGTGAGGGTAGCTTAGTGAGCGAGCGAGAGAGCATAAGTATAGGAGGGACAGAGAAGGTGTGGGAACAAGATAAAGGAAGAAGAGCTAAGCAGAAATAAGAAAGATAGATCTGACTCACCACTTATTCTTTGTCCAGGCT